CCGTGCGTGCGGGAAGGGTCCCTGTCTTGATGGACTGAAAATGCCCCACAACGGCTCCGGGGACGCCCCAGAGGCGCTCACGCGGCCCCAGAAGCGCCCAGGACGGCCCCAGACACCCCCAAAACAGCCCAAGAGCGCTCCAAGAGAGCTCCAGACCGCCGAAAGCGGCCCCCACAAGGCCCAGGAGGCCTCCACGACGGCCCCAGAGACGCCCAAGAGGCGTCCCAGGATGGCCCCCACAGGCCCAAATCATTGTTTTTCCAAAGAAAAGCGTCAAATTTTAGCACGCACTGCTTGTCGGGTATATGGCGCAGAAGATGGAACAAGAGGTCCCCATGAACGCCCCAAGACGGCCCCAGAGGCCCCCCAGAGGCACGAAAACCGGCCCGAGAGAGCGTCAAGAGACCCAAGAGGCGCCCAACACGGCCCCCAGGCGGCCCCAAGAGGCTCCCAGGAGGCGCCCAGGACGGCCCCAGACACCCCCAAGACGGCCCAAGAGCGCTCCAAGAGAGCCCAAGACCGCCGAAAACAAACCCAAGACGGCCCAGGAGGCCTCCACGACGGCCCCAGAGACGCCCAAGAGGCGTCCAAGGATGGCCCCAAGAGGCGAAAATCCTTGTTTTCCCGAAGAAAAAACGCTCAATGTTAGCATGCGCTGCTTGTCGGGAATATGGCGCAGAAGCTGGTTCAAGGCCCCCACGACCTCCCCAAGACGGCCCAAGAGGCCCCCAAGACGCACGAAAACGGCGTCAAGAGAGCCCAAGAGGCGCCCAAAACGGTCCCAGGGCGACACCAAGACGGCTGTAGAGGCCCCTGCCGCCCCGTCTCCAAGCCTTTCCGTCTGCACAGTCTCCAAGACGGTCTTTGGGCCGTCCGGGACGGCTCCAGAGGCGCCCGGGACGGCCCCGGAAACACCCAAGACAGCCCCAAGAGCGCCCAAGATCGGCCCAAGATGGCCCCAAGACGGCCCCAAGATGGCCCGAGATGCGCCCAAGTCGGCTCCAAATCGCCCCAAGACGGCCCAAGAGGCACTCAAGACTGCCCAAAAGGGCCCCGAGAGACTCCCAGGAGAACGAAAAGAGGGCCCCCAAACGGCCCCCAAGCGGCCTTGGATGCTTCTCTCCTGGGGAGCGTCGAACTTCCAGCGTCGTCTTGGGGGCTTCTTGGACCCTCTGGGAGCCATCTCTGCGCCAGTTGGGGACATCTTGGGGCGGTGCGCTCCAAAGGTCGATTCGTGTCCTCGCACTAGGGCCCGTCTTAGGGAGTTCGTGGGGCCTTCAGAGCCTCTTGGCCCGTCCTGGAGACCTTTTGGGCCGTCTCGCCGCCCTTTTGTGGGCCTCCTAGACCGCGCCCACCGGCCCCATTGCCACCACACTACCAGATAAAGTTATCACTCGCTTGCCTGTATCCCTCCTCGGCCACCTCCCCCTCCAGCGGCCACCTCCTCCATCCACGCCGTCCACTCCAACCTCCCCTTACCTGCGAGGCCCCAGAGACGCTCCACTTCCACGTCCACGCCATGGCGGGCAGATTCCGCGGCCGGAAGGCCGCGGGTCAGCCCTAGTCAGCTACAATGCTGGGATCAGCGCGTGTGAGAAGGGCGAGCAATGGCAGCGGGCGCTGGCGCTGCTGAACGAGATGTGGGAGGCGAAGCTGAAGCCCGACGTCATCAGCTACAATGCTTGGATCAGCGCGTGCAAGAAGGGTGGGCAGTGGCAGCGGGCGCTGGCGCTGCTGAGCGAGATGTGGGCAGTGAAGCTGGAGCCCGACGCCATCTCTCCTGCAATGCCGGGAACGCTGCGTGCGGGAAGGGTTTCTGCATCAACAGAGTCCCCGACGGCCGCGAGCCGCTCGCGACGGTGCCCCAGACTCGGCTACACGTAAGAGTGACCCTTGGCCGGAGTGACCTTTGGTGCGGGCCCAATGGGGCCCCCCAATCGCCGAAATTCGCCGAGTGCGAGGCGATGTCGCCGGCTTGCGCGCCTGTGTTTGGCCCCCCAGGCGGCCCCCGCTAAACCGCGCACCAAAGGTCATTCTTACCCAGGGTCACTCTTGCGTGTAGCCGACAGACGCTCAAAAGGGGCGCCCCGACGGCCCCAAGATGGCTCCGAAACGCCCAAGAGGCTGCCCCGACGGCTCCAAAACGGCCCCCAAGGCAGGCCGGCAGGCTCCCAAGACAGCCCTGGGGGACGCCCCAGGAGAGCCCCAAGAGGCAGAGATCGCCACGTTCCCTCCGGAAGACACACACATTTGGGGCATGCTTGTGCTGCTCGTCTCCGACGAGTCCACGACAGCCAGACCGAGCCCGAAAGTCGCCCCAAGGTGCCCCCGCGAGGGTTCCAAGCGATCCAAGACGGCCCCGGGACGGTCCAAGAGGAGTCCAAGACGACCCAAGAGACGCCCAGAGCCGCCCAAGACGGCCCCAAGACGGCCCAAGAGGCGCCCAAGACAGCCCAAGACGGCCCAAGACGGCCCCAAGACGGCCCAAGAGGCACACAAGATGGCCCAAGAGGGCCCCAAGAGGCTCCCAGGAAGCTGAAAAGAAGCCCCAAGAGTCCACCAAACGGCCCCAAGAGGCCGTAAGTGCCTTCAAAATTGCCTCCAAGAGAGGGGGGGCGGACGAGAGGCGAGAGGCAAATCGCAGACCCCAAACAGCCTGCCCCCATGAGGCCCCAAGTGGCTTCGAATTTGCCTCCGTGAGAGGGGGGCGGACGAGAGGCGAGACGCAGATCGCAGGCCCAGAAGAGTCGCTTTGGACGCTCCGAGGGCCTTGGATGCTCGCCTTCTGGAGAGCGTCGCCATAGCGTCCACGATTGGCGATCGGTGACCGAACAGATTAAGGATCCAGGGACGGAGGAGGAGGAGGAGGACGAGGAGGACAAGGAGGAGGAGAAGGAGGAGGAGGAGGAGGAGCAGGAGGATGGGATGAGGAGGAGGAGAAGGCGGCCCCATAAAACCCCGAAGAGAGCCCCACCAGGGTCTAGTTGACGCACGACCCTCTGAACGTGAAGGGTTCAAGAGCGAACGGTGACGCACCCAAAGCTCTGAACGCCAAGGCTCCCAAGTGCTCACGTGAAGACTTCAAGAGCGAACGGTGACGCACCCAAAGCTCTGAACGCCGAGGCTCCCAAGAAGTAGCGGTGGCGGAAAGAGCGCTTATTTCAAGCAGCAAGCAAGCACACGTCAAACAAGTAGCACCAGCAGGAGACCAAACCAGGAAGCTTATCAAGGCCCACTGCTGTTCCGCGCTCCGTTCCAGAGTGGGTGGTTTTCTTCACATGCACGCGCCGACCCTCAAGACCACGACTGCTCCTCCATGCACTACGTCGACGCAAGCGCTGGATAAACAGGAGGAGGAGGAGGAGGAAGACGGCGACGTCGCTGGCGACACCGGAGATGACGACGAAGACGACGACCACGACGACGACAACGACGACGACGACGACGACGACGACGACGACGACAGCGACAGCGACAGCGACAGCGACAGCGACAGCGACAGCGACAGCGACGACGACGTGACTGAGCCGACGACCACGATCACAACGACGACGACGCCAAGTAAGTGTGCCAGCGCGGATCCCGAGCAGCAGCGTCATGCACTGAAGATGGAGCGGGGTGGTCCCGGACGATTTCTGAACATTTGCACCTGGGGGGGCGTTCGGTTCAGAAATTGTCCAGGCCCGCTTGCGCCCGAGTAACCGCCTTGTCGTGGCCGTAGGCCACGGGTCCGCCCTAGTCTCTCCTACAACGCTGGGATCAGCGCGTGCGAGAAGTGCGAGCAGTGGCAGCGAGCCCTGGCGCTGCTGAGCGAGATGCGGGAGGCGAAGCTGGAGCCCGATGTCATCAGCCACAGCGCTGGGATCAGCGCGTGCGAGAAGGGCGAGCAGTGGCAGCTGGCGCTGGCGCTGCTGAGCGAGATGCGGGAGGCGAAGCTGGAGCCCGACGTCATCTCTCCTACGTGGCCGGGGAAGCGCGTGCGGGAAGGGAAACGGATCAAGTATCCGAAATCGGCTTCGGCGGGCGCGCCGAGATCGGCCAACAGCCCCAACATGGCCTTAAGACGGCCCCAGAGGCCGTCCAGACGGCTCGCGGCGGCCAAAAATCATCTACGTTATGTATGTTTGTTTTTTGCTTTTCGGGTTCTCGCGAGTTCGAGTTCAGAGCGGCCCAAGGCGGCTCTTGGGATCCGCCCGAACGCCCTAAGGCCGCCCAAGAGTTCCGGCAACGGCCCAAAGACCGCTCAGGAGGCTCCAAGATGTCTCCCAGAGGAGCCCAAGACGGCCCAAGAGAGCCCCCAGGAGAGCCCCCAGGAGCCCCGAACGGGCCCCAAGAGCCGCCCAAGAGGGCTCACGGAGAGCTCCGAGACAACCCAAGAGCCCCAACATGGTCCCAAGACGGCCCCAGAGGCCGTCCAGACAGCTCGCGGTGGCCAAGAACATTGATTTCCTTACGGTTTTCGCCTGATTCTCAGGTTCTCGCGATTTCGAGCTCTCTTCGGCCCCCCGCGATTGTTCCAAGGCTCAAGAGGTTCCGGGAAGGGCCCCAAGACGGCTCAGAAGTTTTCCAAGACGGCCCCCAGAGGAGCCCAAAACGGCCCAAGAGACACCCAAGACGGCGCGAGAGAGCCCCCAGGAGCCCCCAGACGGGCCCCAAGAGCCGCCCAAGAAGGCCCACAGAGAGCTCCGAGACGGCCCAGCACCCCCAATATGGTCCCTACACGGCCCCAGAGGCAATCCACCAGCCTCTGGGGCCGTCTGCAGACGGGCCGCGGCAAACGAGATCATTGATTTCCCCATGGTTTTTTGACAGATTTGCATGTTTCCGCCATTTCGAGCCAAGACTGGCCCAAGACGGTTGCTGGGGCTCCCCCGAACGCTCCAAGGCCGTCCAAGAGGATCCGGAAAAGGCCCCACAACCAGCCAGGAGGGTTCCAAGATGGCCCATGACGCGCCCAAGAGGCCCCAAGACGGCCCAAGAGCCACCCGAGACAGCCCCAAGACGGCCCACGAGGCGCCCAAGGCGGCCCCAGAGGCCCCCAGGAGACCGAAAAGACCCCTAAGAGGCCCCCGAACGGCTTCCAGGAGGCCCCCAGAAGATGCTCCAAAGCTGCTCTCAAGACACGGGCAGCGGACGAGAGGCGAGAGGCTCATCGCACGCCCGAAGGAATTGTTTTCCACGCTCCGAGGGCCCTGGCAAACAGTAGCAACTCGCAGGACTTGCAAGCAAACATCAAGCAAGCATCACGCAAGCGGTAAGACGGTGCAGGCTGAACAAATCACGCGCGCATTGGCAATGAAACGGCTACAAGCAACCGAGTGCAACACAAGCGACAGCAGACACATGCTGACTTTCTTGCCTTCGTAGGCAGAGCCTTCGGGTCACCCTTCGACACTTACCAACCCTCAAAGATTGCTTCAAGACGCTCTAGAAGCCTTCCAAGACGGCCCCAAGACGCTCCAAGCCGGCCCCAGGACGGCCCCAGCGACGCCCAGACGGCCCAAGAGAACCCCAAGAGAGCCCAAAGAGCGGCCCAAGGGGCCCAAGACAGACACAAGACTGACCGAGAGGCACCCGAGACAGCGCTGCGACAACCCAAGAGACCCTCAAAACCCCCAGAGGCCCTAGATGCTTATATGGCAATCATCGCAAAGGGGAGAAGGGTGGATGGACGGAGAAAGAGGAGGAGGATTCAGCTGCAGGGAATAGAAGCAACAGAGAGCAGCAGCTGCAGCAGCAGCACGCGTTGACATCACCAGTACCAAGCAGCATCCTGCAGCAAGCAGCAGCAGGCAGGCGGCAACGTCTACCACCAGGCAAAAGCTAGCACGTGCACCAGTCCATAGCAAGCCGTTGCCGCAGGAGGCAGCAAAAGAAAGACCGAACGAAAGGCCGCAAGAGGCAACAAGCAGCACTCAGCAACGGCAAGTGGCTATAAAAGGCACCAGGCAGGTGCAAGCACGTTTGCCCAGACACCGCTCGCCACCTCGAGCAGATGTCGTGGACGTAGTCCACGGGTTAGCCCTATGGCCGGAGGAACCGCGTGCCAGAAGGAAATCCAGCCAAATGGCTAGAAACGGCTCCGAGACGCTCCGGAGGCCGCCCCGACGGCCCAAAGACGGCTCCGAGCCGCTCAAGATGCCCCGAAGGCGGCCCAAGAGGGCCCCGAGACGCGCAATGATCCGGCCAAGACGCCCAAGATTGGCCCAAGACGGCCCAAGAGCTCCCCAAGACGGCCCAATAGGCCTCCCAAGAGGCCTCCCAAGAGAGCCCCGCGAGGCCAAAATCGTTGATTTTCGTTTGTTTTTCACAGGTTTTTCGCTTCCTCGCTTTTTCGGCTTCCCGACGTTCCGAACCCCCCCCAGAGGCATCCAAGACCGCTCCAAGACGGTCGAAGAGGTCCCCAAGAGGACCCCAAGACGGTCCAAGAGGGCCCCAAGACGGTCCAAGGCGGCCCCAGGACGGCCCCAGAGGCGCCCAAGACAGGCCAACGGGACCCCAAGATGGCCCGAAGAGCGGCCCAAGATGGCTCCAAGACGGCCCGAGGACCGCCCAAGAAGGCCCTAGGGGGGCCCAAGACAGCCCAAGGGGCGCGATAGACGAGCCCAGAGAGGCCCAAGAGGCCCCCAGGAGCCCAAAAGAGGTCCCCAAGAGGTGCCACGGGGCTTAAAAACTGCTTCGAAGCGAGGGGGGCGGACGAGGGGACCGCCTCAGGAGGTTTTGGACGGTTTTGGGCCT